AGCTCAGATGTCACCTCCTTAGGGAACGTTTGTCTACCTCCAGAATAAAGTAGGCATCCTGTTTCTCGTTCCTGAATTACAGTTATCGACAGGGCACACATCATCTGCAATTATATACTTCATTTACTTTCTCTACCCCCCTCAACACACACACCCACACACACTGGAATGTAAGATCGTGAGGGGTGGGGCTATGGCTGATGTGTTTACTTTGAATTCCTCAACCTAGGACAGTATCCGGCTTAACATATTTTTGAAAGAATGAATAAATGAATATAGAATAAAGTGTAGAATGAAAGAGGAGGAACGGGTTTTTTAGTTTTTTGATGAGGGAAAGGAGGAAGGATTCTGTTTTGGATGGCGTGAGTTTTAGGAGTATCTAGGTACAGATGTCTGATAGGCCTTTAAACATAGGAGTCAGAAACTTATAAGAGAAATCGCAATAAAGACAGCTAACCTTTGCTGAGCCTTTACTATGTTGCAGTCTCTGTTCTAAGCGTTTTGCTGGACTAATGATGGTAAAGGTCCCTGGGTGGTACAGATGGTTTGTGCATGACTACTAACATAAAACCTGAGGATTTAAATGCACCCAGTGAGACCACAGAAAAGCCTGGCAGTGGAGCTGTCTACTCTGTAGGGTTGCCAACTCTGTGGGGTTGGAATCGACTTAATGCCAGTTTTTTTTTTTTTTTTTTTTGGTAGACTGTAGAGGCAGAAGTTGAAACTTATGGAATGGTAATGTCCAAGGAACATGTATGTAGTCTGAGAAAAATATAGAGATGAAATCTTGGGGGGAACACCAATATAAGAGATGAGAAAAGAAAGAGGGCCTCTCAGAAGGAGAAGCTGGAGAGGGGTGATCTAAGAGTCTCTGGAAGAGGTTCAAGGAGGAGTGATTGCTGTTGAAAACATGATGCTGAGTGAAATCAGTCAGTCACCATAGTACAACTATTGTATTATTGCACTGACATGAAATATCTAGAATAGGCAAATGTATATGAACCTAAGCTTATTTGTGGGGAGAAGGGGAAAGGGAGACTCATTGCTTAACGGGCACTGAGATGCTGTTAGGGGTGATGAAAAAAATTGCAAATGGATAGTGGTGATGATTGTACAACATGATGGACACAATGTCATTGAATAATGTCATTGAATTGTACATATAGTGTGTGTTGAAATGGCAAATGTTATGTACATGTATATTTACCACACACATACACAGGAGCCCTGGTGGCGTAGTTCCTAAGGCATTTGACTGCTAACCAGAAGGCTGGTGGTTCTAACCCACCAGCCACTCCTCGGAAGGAAGACTGGGCAATTTACTTCCATGGTGATACTGCCTTGGAAACCCAAGGAAGGGTCACTATGAGTCGGATCCGATTCAAAGGCAGTGAGTTTGGTGGTTTTTTTTTTTTTTTTCGATTTTATACAAAAGTTGGGGGAAAAAAGTGTCTATGGACTTCAGCATCAAAGAAATCACCTTGGAATAGCTATTTCAGTGAGCCCTGGGGAAAGGAAGTAGGTTGAGAGTTTGAGAATTAAAAGTTGCCATTACGAAAGAGCTAGTAGAGAGGAAGAATTGGAAAAGGCAGTGAAAGGAGAAAATGATTCCTGCATGGTTCCTGGGGAGGTGGAGTTGATTATAGCCAGGACATTTGTGGAGGAATGCTGTCAGCCATAACTTCTAGTTGTTTAGTTTCTTCCTTAGAACCTTCCAAGTTCTTGTTCTGTACTTCTCCCAGTGGAGTGAGAGGCAGTGGAATCTTACAGGCTGCCCTGTTGCCTCCTGGTTCATCTCTTGACCAGTGAAAGGTCAGGATATGGGGCCCTTACTGGCGCCAGCTACTGGCTAACCCACCAGCAGCAGTAAGCACAGAGGTTCTGCTGAAAGTTCCTTTACTTTAACTTTTTTCACTGGCATTGCTAGATACCTTAGGTTCACATGCTTGTGTTCTTATTTGTTTCCACTGAGCCTACAGTTCTGGTTGCATGAAAAGTCTTTCACAAGTAGTCAGGTTACCGAAGGAATCCTGGTGGTGCCAGTGGGTAAGTGCTCAGCTGCTAACTGAGGTCAGCAGTTTGACCACTTAGTGGCTCTTGCAGGAGAAGGACCTGGCAATCTGCTTCTGTAAAGTATTACAACCAAGAATACTCTGTGGGACAGTTCTACTCCGTTACATTGGGTCACTATGAGTTGGCATTGACTTGATCGCACCTAGCAACAGCAGCAGCAGCAGCAGCAGTCTGGTTACCAGTTGTTGAAATGGCTCAGCTTTAGTAATGACCACAATTGCAAATTTAATAAGAAATGTCTAAGTCACATATCTTAGGATTTAAAATTTTGCTTTTCTTTTTGTTTACCCTTAGCAATAGAAATTAGGTTTCCAGTCTCAAAAGTAAAGATAATATTTTTAGTGTGCACTGTTTAAATATAAAGAAGCTCTGGTGGTATAGTGGGTAAGGCGTTTGGCTGCTAAACAGAAGGTTGGTGATTCAGTCCCACCAGCTGTGCCACGGGAAGAAGATGAAGCAATCTACTTTTGTATATATTTAACCAGCTTGGAAACCCAGTGGGGGTCATTATGAGTCTGAATCAACTTGACGGGAGTGGATTTGGTTTTGGTTCAAATATAAAATATACTTTAATTTTCCGATACATGGATTCTAAAACTTTTACCTTGTTTGAGACTTCTGAATTTATACCTCACTTTAACATATCCACAAGGAGCTCTGGTAATATAGTGGTTAAAGCATTCAGCTGTTAACCAAAAGATTGACAGTTTGAACCCACCAGGTGCTATGCAGGAGAAAGACAAAGCACTCTGCTTCTGTTAAGATTCACAGCCTTGGAAGCCCTATGAGGTAATTCTACTCTGTCCTAAACAGTTGCTATAAGGCAGAATCGACTCAATGACAGTGGGTTTGGGTTTTTTTTTTTTTAAGTATACAGATAATGGAGGCTTTAGTATAAACTGAAAACAGCTATTTTTCTCTTTGTTGCTTTTAAAAGGAAACATGTTTAATAGAAAGAATTTTTGTTTTAAATGAGTTGACTTGTTTATTTGAAAGTAATCTCTCATAATTTGGATTGCAGATTCTGGAGTTTAAGATAGTATCTCTATTGATAGTCCGTTTAAACATTGTAAATAAATTATGTGCTGATATCATGTGAGCAAGCCTACAAAAATACTTAACTATGGGTTTTTCCTTTAAAACTGTTGTACTCTATCACATGTGACAATTATGTTGTCAGAACAGTGAACAGTGTTAGTTGAAGTGTCTTGACCAGGCATTTGATTAAAGTTGGAGTGTTGACCTGGGAAGGACTGCTAGGGGAAGAACAAAGATTCAGGGGAGAGGTGTAGTTCTAAGAGTTCTCGTGTGATGTTGAAATTTGACATTCAGCTTTTCAATAAAACCACTGAGTTACGTGACTGATGAAAAGGCACCTGGTTAGCGCCTTCAAGAAGTAAAGCTTTTGGTGTGTCTCAGATTTTTGCTGGCAGGACTCCTTCATGATCTTAAAATTTATTGAGGACCCAGAGCACTTTTGTTTGTGTAGGTTATGTTAATTGGTATTTACTGTATTAGAAATCAAAACTGATTAACTATTTATGAGTTTGATTGCTAATACAATTAGAATATTTAATAAAAAATTAAAAACATCAACAAATACACTCATGTTTATATAAATAATATATCTTTAGTGAAAAATAACTGTTTTCTAAAAAATGTTAGTGAGAAAACTGGCACTGCTATTCATTTTTGCTTATATCATTAATATCTGGCTTCATCAGAAGCAGCTAGCATTTCCAGTCTGCTTCTGCATTTAATCTTTTGTGATTTCACATGTGAGTTGTGAGAAAATTAGAGTGAAAAAGACAAGTAATGGCATAGTGTTATTAAGAAAATGATTTTGAGTGCCTGGACACTCTAAAGGGGGTTTTAGGGCCCTCCTAAGGGTCCCTGGATCTCACTTTGAGAACCATTGGACTAAACTACATGTTTTTTTGAGGACAGGGATGATCTTCTACTTTCTGGGGCCTGGTAAATGTTCCTTATGTTGATTCCTGAAACATGTTTACTGATAGAACTTCTCCCAATAAAATTCCAGGGGAAGGAGCCATTCAGTGAGTCAGGAAGGAACTTCCTTCCCAAAACACCTTTCCCCTTAATTAGTCATGCTGTCAGAAGCTTTCTAACTCTTCTGAGTCAGCAGCCGGGGAGGTGCCACTGGGCTCTTCCCTGTATCTGAGGATACTGTAGACTGGTTACAAATCAAGAGAAGTTGTTAAGAAAAAGTATTCTTTGATCAGTAAAATGGACTCTAGGAAATGTTGAAGGTTCCTGGGAGGAAGAAGCTAGACTTGTTTCCTAGAAACTGAGTGGAAAGGCCATTGTAGAAGTTTCTCAGGGTCTCTTTGGCCAATGTGCTGCCCTCTGCCCTCCAGGGAGCACACATGCTGGTCCGTCTGGTGCTTTCTACACTGCGGCAGTGGCAGGTGGTCTGAAGAGTGAGTGGGAAGTGATGACCAGCTTCCTGAGTGACAGTGTTTTCATTTAATCTTCTCTAAACTTACGGTAGAAATATGCAAAGTTCTACTGAAAATATGCATTCTGTTATGGTCAGGTTTTCAAACTTTTGATTAAATGTAGGGAAACGGTATCAAAAGGTATTTGAAAAATTCTGTGGTAAATTTTGTCAAAGCCAAGACATGTACAACTCACAGTGATTACATTGGAACACATTTATCAACGAGGTCAGGGCAAATCTTATGAATATAAGAGCATAAAAGCAGCAGGTATTGCATTTGACTTGCGAAGAAATGAAAGATTTTTTTTTTAAAGTGCATGGTTTTGTCTGCTTTATCTGAACAAATAGTGGCATTTTCTAACTGCTTGCCTCCTGGGCACACAACTCATCGTGGTATGTTTTCACTAATCGTCTCTGAACTTCTTTCTCTGTCCTTTTTCTCCGGGCCGTATATTGCTGCCTGTAGCGCTTCAGCATGGAAGGGATCTCAAATGTCATTCAGAATGGCCTCCGCCACACCTTTGGAAATTCAGGTGGAGAGAAACAGGTGCTTGGTTATCCTTATTTTCCTCATTCTCTACTTGTTGATTCTGTGTGTAAGTGAAGAGAGGCGATAGGAAGGTGCCAGTTTCACTAATTTACTAAGATCATTGCTTAAAAGAAAGAAATGAAAGCTAATTGTATTTATAGTCTTGATAATGAACGGAATTTCCCTTGGGGGCAAAAGCATTGTTCAAAATGGACAGTAGACTAAATGCATTCTTAATACAGATTTTAGAGCTCTATTTCTTATTCCTACCCTTAAACAAGTAGTTATTAACACATTGATAAAATGAACTGCATGCATAGAAAATCTAATTGTGACAATAACTAAATGAGAATATCCTCCTCTAATTCTAAAGGCCTAAGGAACAAGATTTCAGACTTAGGGGAAGAAAGCCAAATGTTGGTATCTTTTAGACCAAAGTTCTAGGTCAAAAATATGCATATCCTTAGTAGAGATGATTGAAGAACAAGATGAGCATAATTAATGTCACTGAGTTGTACATCTGAAAAAAATGTATTTCACTTCCATTTAAGTGAAATTCATGTGTTTTAAGTTATATAATACAGTCAACTGACTTGTTAAAAGCAAAGGCATTATTTATATAAAATCATGAATGGATATGAATATGCACTCAAATGTATTTCACTTTGCTTTTTATTAACATTTTTGTATTGTAAATGTAAGGAATATCATGAGCATGGAAAACACATCTATATTATTGAGCATGCTTAAAATTATCTTTCACAATTGGAAATTTTCTCAGAGGAAGACTATTTAAGTGGAAATTCAGAAGGTATGTGGAATGTGGCTGATAGGCAGTTTATCAACAGAAGGCATTTGAGCCTAGAGTTTTTACTGAAGATAGTGCTGTATTACTCAAGAAGGGAGAGAATTGACATTAGGAAAGAAAAGTTCACACTGACATTTGCAGCTTAGAAAGGGGCTTCATGAAAAGAAGTTGAATTTTTTTTATTGTGTTGTCCCTCACTTCTCTCAAATCCACAATGTGGCAAAATAGTTTCCAAACTGATCTAACCACCTGGGAGTGGGTCAAGAAGGCCCCTAAGCATAGCCAGATAGCGTGCAGGCCATGACGTGGTGTCTTGGCAATTCTCAAAGCTGCTGGCACACTAGTTGTTATGAAGCCCTTAACAGGCATATTTCTCTTTTCTCTGTTCTTTAAAAAGAAACCAAAAAGCCAACACATTTAGTTATATAATTGGGCATTCCCTCATAGAAGTCTACATTGAAAAGATGGTCACAAACTACTTGATTGCTTTTCTGAATCTGGGGATCCAGTTACCATGAAGTGACTTTTTTTTTTTATCTTGTTTTATGACCATGTGTGAGTTAAGTTCATTCACTGAGGATTAGCAGTAGAGCTGAAATTTAGTGTGGGGCTAACTAATGGATGAGGGTGAGAAGGTTGCAAATGAAAACCAATTGCTCTCCACGTGAGCCTACGCAAATGACACTAAACTATTTATGTGTTTCTGGTGGGGTGGTGAGACTAGAATAATCTGGATGATGACTTTTAGACTATGCTTTTATGAAACACAGTCATAAGCTATTACACTCATAGTTGTGAGCCTTCACAGGTGGTGGACTAGGTAGTTGGTTCAGTTTCAAACAGGAATTTTCACTATTCATTTCCTTCTAGGCCATTCTTTCCTTTCACTTTCATCTTTGCCTTTACCACCTTTAAGCATTTATGTCTACTTACATAATAATTTAAAATAACAATAACTACATCTCTAATATGTATGTAAAGACAAAGTATATCTTGTTAGCTTTTGGAAGAAACTGGTAAATGTTTTTAAAGTTATCAAATTATTTATGTGACCATTTTGTTCAACTGAGTAAAAATGGTCTCAAAGAGCATTACTCAGTTGCTGGAAATTATTTTGTTGTGAAGAGCTGTTACAAGTCGGTTTTTAGTTTTAATAGCTACTTAATAAACAGTGGTGAAAAATATGCAAGTAGACAGATAACGCTTCAGTTTAAAAATGAACAAATAATCCTCAGACCTAGTCCTCTGACATTTTCAACCATAAATTACAAGAGTAAGTGGATGTTTATGTCAACTGTGGGTTTGTATAAACAGATAGATGTGGTTGAAAAAAAGAGAAAAATGAGCTCCAGCTGAGATAGTCAGATACTTTTATCCCTGAACATACCTGTGCTTTCATTACAAAGCAGCTTATGTTTCAGGTTATAAAATAGACCTTCCAGTAACTGTATAAAAATTTTTGCAGATAAAGTAATTCAGATTTAAGTGATGCATTGCTATTTTGTTTTACTTGGCAGTACTTGACAACAGTCATTCCTTATGAGAAAAAAAATGGACCACCATCTGTTGAAGATCTTCAAATATTAACAAAAAGTAAGCAAAGACAAAATGAAACTGTTACTAACGTGATTTTAGTTAACTGATTTTGTTGTTGTTATTGTTTTGTCAATTTAGGATATTAAGTGATGGGTGCCATTGTTTATTCTTACGAGAATGAAACCATAAATTGCTATGACATCAAACACTACACTAACTCCACAGTTCACTTGAATTTTTTTCATTTTCTTACCTTTTTAAATATTTGAGTTAAATTTTCTTTTTGAGAAAAAACATGTAACTTGATTCTCCATCACTCTTGTAGTAAAGTATTTATCCATTTTACAATAAATAAGATATTTTATAGACATTATATAAATATGACCATTAGTGACTGAATAGGAAAGATTTAGGGTGAGAGTGGCTGTTTGGGATTGAATTGTGTCCCCCCAAAATGATGTGCTGCAAATCCTAAACCCTGTACCTGTGGCTATAATCCCTTTTGGGAATAGGGTTTTCTTACATTAATGAAGCCATGTCAGGTATTTTGTTATTATAATTTGAGTGAATGTTTACAGAGCAAATTGGTTTCCTGTTCAATAATTTATGGATATTTTATTTCGCAACAGTGTTTGCCATCCCTACAATGTATCATCATTCTTCCCACTTCCTCCCTGAGTGTCCGGTTTCCATTTGTCCTCTTCCCTGTCCATTCCTGCCTTCTGAGTTTTATCCTTGGGCATAAACTGCTCTTTTGCTGTTGTATGGTGATTGTTCTTAGGTGTGCGTACCCCTCTAGTGTTCTTGTTCACCTTATAGGCCTGTCTATTGCTTGTTGTACCAATCACTTTTGAGATGTGCAAACAGTAGATCCGGCACAGAAAGAAACGAGCATAGATGGGGGGAGATAGTTGTCGCCACGTGCAGATCAGTAAGTATTGGAGGAACCGGAGCTAGAATGAGCTGAGGATCTTCCTCCAGAGCCAACAGAGGGAGACAGCCTTCCCCTAGAGCTGGTGCCCAGAATTCAGACTTCAGGTCTCCAAAGCTGTGAGAAAATAAATTTCTGTTTGTTAAAGCCACTCACTTGTGGCATTTCTGTTACAGCAGCACTAGAAAACTTGTGACAGTGGCCTAAAACACTCTTGTTTTTGTTTGAATGTAGAACCCAAGGTGATAGTTATTAGGTAGAACATAAGTTGATAGTAATGTTTCATGATTATTCGTTTATTCAGCAAATATTCATTGATTTTTATGCTGTGCTCTTGAGGAGCTTGCATATTTAAATAATTTGTTGGATTTAAATGCACATGACATTAAGCATTTCCTATATAATAGCTCTAAATAAGCACTGAATTCTTGGTCTATCTCTGTTGTTTACAGGGATAGCCCTGGCAGTCACTTACCCTCCTTTCATCACAGGGAAAACTGGGGATAAACATAATCACTCTATCTACCTCATAGTAAATAAATTAATATCTGATTTTGGGGTCAGTCACATGATCAGCCTTGTTTTCTTTGCCCTTAAAATGAAGGAATCGAATTTACTGATTGTCTTAGTTAGCTTGTGCTGCTCCGATAGAAATGCTCTAAGTAGGTGGCTTAAAGGGACAGAAATTTACTTTTCAGTTCTGGAAACTACAAGTCCAGATCAGGATCTTGGCAGTGTTGATTCTTCTTTGTCAGTAGACCTGGGTGTTTCTTGGTTCCTTGGCTTGTAGGTGACTCTTACATGACATCTGTACCCCGTCACCCTCCCGGCCTGCTCGGGGTGTGTGTGTGTGTGTGTGTGTGTGTGTGTGAGATCTCCTTTTATAACACACATGTGATTAGATTGAACCCACCCTAATTGAGTGTGATCTAATTAATATAACGAAGAAAACCCTATTTCCAAATAAGGTTATACCCACAAGTATGTATTCTAACATATTTTTGGAGAACATAATTCAGTCCACTGATAGAACAGATAACACTGATCTATTAGGTTCTTTATAATTGCAAATGTTTGTGAGAACTCCTAATTCAGAGGGAGCCAAATCAGAGAGTATCGAGTGGGCGGATGTTGATGATGGTATCTGTGTTAGAAATTAAGGATATGGAGGTGTGGACAGGGGAGCACAATGGAAGACGCTCTGATCCTCTTTGCTAGCTGCCTGCCTGTTAGCCTGAAGCTTTTATTCTTTCCTTTGTTGTTGTTGTTATGTGCCGTCGAGTCGGACCTGACTCATAGCGACCCCTCCTTGGGTTTCCGAGGCAGTATCACTACGGAAGTAGATTGCCCCATCTTCCTTCTGGGGAGTAGCTGGTGGGTTTGAACCGACAGCCTTCTGGTTAGCAGTCAAGTGCCTTAGGCACTACGCTACCAGAGCTCCCATTCTTTCCTTTGGTGATAAATATTTTAAAGACATTGTCTATTTAAATAAATATGGATACATCACGTGATGCCAGCCGATCTAAAATAAACAATCAAGAGATTGACTGGGTGACCAGCCCCTATTTGTAAGAAGCTAATGAAGTAATGAGTGTCCAAGGGCACATAGTAAAAATCACAGTAGATTCAGGGGCTGGGCACCTGAATCCCCAGTCCACTGTCTATTTAGTGATGCTGGGTTTTTATATGGAACTTAAAGTCTAAAACATGACTGGAAACAGAAATACAAAGCCCTCTAGAAGGGAGTGGAAATATTGCTCAAAAGCTAGAGATTACCGAGGCCTCAGCTTCTCAGAGGAAGAAGGACAAACACTTGGTCAAACCAAAGTGATCAGACTTCCAACATTAAACATCACTAGTCTGATTCTCAAGAAGTGCAATGCCTAAGGCATTTGACTGCTAACCAGGAGGTTGGCTGTTCAAACCCACCAGCTAGCTGCTCCCTGGAAGAAAGATGGGGGCAATCTACTTTCATAAAGATGTGCCATCTCTGAAACTCAGTGGGGTTGCTGTGAGTCAGAATCAACTAAATGGCAGTAAGTTTTTTATGTTTTGTTTTGTTTTTTACCACTGATACTGAGGAGATGTCTTCATAGATTGACACAGTTTGGAATCTTTGGGCATCTTTATGTAGTGAATGTGTATGTAGGGTGTGCAGTGAACATCCAAGTTAATGTAGTTATGACGGCAATATTGTGAAGACAGTAGATGGAAGGATGACCTTCACTTTGAAAGTAAATATTGGTATCTCATGGAAACTTGGGGAGAACCCGAACCTCTGCTGCTGTCATCTGTAGATGTAAGCCAAAGGAAAAGCCTTGTGGAGACGGCCACAGCACTGATGGGTATGCAGCCTTTTTCCTCGTGAATGCTACTGGAGGGAGCTCCTAGGTGCAACAGTGATTGTGATACAAATTATTATAATACTAATAGTAATGTTAATAATTATAGCTAATACTTATCTAGCATATGCTTTGTTGTTAGGTGCCATCAAGTTGGTCTAACTCACAGCGACCCCATCCACAACAGAACAAAATACTGCCTAGTCCTGTGCCGTCCTCACGTTCCTTGCCATGCTTGAGCCCACTGTGACAGCCACTGTTTATCCATCTTGTTGAGTCTTTCCCTTTTTAGCTGACCCTCTGCTTTACCAAGCATGATAGCCTCCTCCTTCATGGACTGATCTCTTCTGACAACATGTCCCAAATACATGAGATGAAGTCTAGCCATTCTTGCTTCTAAGGGGCTTTCCAGCTGTACTTCTTCTAAGACAGATATGTTCATTTTTTGCCAGTCCATTGTATTTTCAATATTCTTTGCCAACACAATTAAATACACTAGTTCTTCTTCCGTCTTCTTATTCATTGTCTAACTTCCACATGCATATGAGGCTATTGAAAATAACATGGTCAAGTGTACCTTAGTTTTCAAAGTGACATCTTTGCTTTTTAATACTTTAAAGACTTTTTTTTTTTTTTTTTTGCAGTAGATGTACCCAAAGCAATATGTCATCTGATTTCTTGACTGCTGCTTCCTTTGGCATTGATTGTAGATCCAAGTAAAATGAAATCCCTGACAACTTCAACCTTTTCTCCATTTATCCTGTTGTTGCTTTTTGGTCCAGTTGTGAGGATTTTTGTTTTCTGTATGTTGAGCTATAATCCATACTGAAGAATATGGTCTTTGATCTTCATTAGTAAGTTCTTCAAATCATCTTCACTTTCAGCAAGCAGGGTTGTGTCATCTGCATATAGTACGTTGTTAGCGAGCCTTCCTTCAATCCTGATCCACATTCTTCTTCTTATAGTCCAGCTTCATGGATTATTTGCTCAGCATACATATTGAATAAGTAGGGTGAAAAGATACAACTCTGATGTACACTTTTCCTGATTTTAAACCATGCAGTATTCCCTTGTTCTGTTTGAACAACTATCTGTTGGTCCACATACAGGTTCCTCATGAGCACAAGTAAGTGTTCTGGAACTCCCATTCTTCATAATGTTATCCATTATTTGTTATGATCCACATAGTTGAGTGCCTTTGCATAGTCAATAAAGCATAGGTTGACATCTTTCTGGTATTCTTTGCTTTCTTCCAAGATCCATCTGACATCAGCAATGATATCTCTCATTCCACACCTCCTTCTAAATCTGTCCTCAATTTCTGGCAGTTCCCTTCAATATACTGCTGCAAAAAATTTTTTAAATGATCTTCAGCAAAAATTTACTTGCATGTGATATTAATAATATTGTTTGATAATTGTTGCATTCTGTTGGATCACTTTTCTTTGGAATGGGCACAAATATGGATCTCTTACAGTCAGTTGGCAGATCTTGTCTTCCAAATTTCTTGACATAAACAAGTGAGCACGTCTAGCACTGTATCTGTTTGTTGAAATACTCATGGGTATTCATTCCATTGGGAGCTCTGCTAACCCACCAGCCACTCCTTGGAGGGAAAGTTGGGCAATCTACTTCCATAGTGATACCACCTCAGAAACCCAAGGAGGGGTCACCATGAGTCAGATCCAACTCGATGGCGGTATATCGTTTGTTCATTGTCATCGTATTCATTCCATCAATTCCTGGAGCCTTGTTTTTGGCCAGTATCTTCATTGCACCTTGGACTTCTTTCTTTTGTACTATTGGTTCTTGATCATATGTTGTTTTTATTGTTAGGTGCTGTCAAGTTGGTTCTAACTCATAGTGATTGTCTGTACAGTAGAATGAAATACTGTCTGTCTGTGTGCCATCCTCATAGTCCTTACTATGCTTGAGCCTTTTGTTGCAGCCTCTGTACCAGTCCATCTCTGAGGGTCTTCCCCTTCTTCACTGACCCTCTTCTTTACCAAGCCTGATAGCCTTTTCCAGGGAATGATCCCTTCTGACAACATGACCAAAGCAGGTGAGACAAAGTTTGGCCATTCTTGCTTCCAAGGAGCATTCTGGCTGCACTTCTTCCAAGACAGATTGGTTCTTCTGGCAGTTCATGGTATTCTCAGTATTCTTTCCCAACACTGCAATTTAGAGGTATCAACCGTTCTTTGGTCTTCCTTATTCATTGTCCAGCTTTCACATGCATATTAGGTGATTGACAATACCATGGCTTATATCAGGTGCACCTTTGTCTCCAAAGTGACATCTTTGCTTTAAAAAGACTTTAAAGAGGTCTTTTTCAGCAGAATTTCCCAGTGCAGTACAACATCTGATTTCCTGACTGCTACTTCGGTGGGTGTTGACTTTGAATCCACATAAAATGAAAATCCCTGACAACTTCAGTCTTTTCTCCATTTGTCATGATGTTGCTTATTGGTCCAGTTATGAAGATTTTCATTTTCTTTACGTTAAGGTGTAATCCATACTGAACACTGTAGTCTTTGATCTTCATCAGTAAGTGCTTTAAGTCATCTTCACCCTCAGCAAGCAAGGTTGTGTCATCTGCATATTGCAGGTTGTTAACGGCTCTTCCTCTAATCCTGATGCTGTGATCTTCTTTATAGTATCCACCTTTTCGGGTTCTTTGCTCAGGATACAGATTGAATAAGTATGGTGAAAGGATACACCCTTTCTGATTTAAAACTACGCAGTATCTGCTTGTTCTGTTCTAACAACAGCCCCTGGTCTATGTACAGGCTCCTCATGAGAACAATGATGTGTTCTGGAATTCCCTTTCTTCACAGTGTTTTCCATTATTTGTTATGATCCTCACAGTTGAATGCCTTTGCATATTCAATAAAACACAGGTAGACATTTTTCTGGTATTCTTTGCTTTCAGCCAAGATCCATCTGGTATTAGCAATCATGTCCTTCCTTCCATGTCCTCTTCTGAATCTGGCTTGAATTTCTGGAAGTTTCCTGTCAATCAGTATACTGCTGCAACCATTTTTTAATTACCTTCAGTGAAATTTTACTTGCGTGTGATACCAATGATATTGTTCAATAATTTCTATATTCTGTTGGATCCCTTTCTTTGGAATGGGCACAAATATTGATTGCTTCCAGTCAATTGGCCAGGTAGCTGTCTTCCAAATTTCTTGGCATAAACAAATAAGTGCCTCCAATGCTGCATCCTTTTGTTGAAACATCTCAATGGGTATTCCATCAATTTCTGGAGCCTTGTTTTTTGCCAGTTCCTTCAGTGCAGCTTTGACTTTTTCCTTCAATACCACTGGTTCTTGATCGTATGCTCCCTCCTGAAATAGTTGGACCTTGACCAGTTCTTTTTGATACAGTGACTCTGTATTCCTTCTATCTTCTTTTGATGCTTCCTGCATAGTTCAACATTTTGCCCTTAGAAGCCTTTAATATTATAAGTCAAGGCTTGAATTTTTCCTTCAGTTCTTTCAGCTTGAGAAATGGCGAATGTGTTCTTCCCTTTTGTTTTCTAATTCCAGGTCTTTGTAATACTTTACTTACTCTTCTCAAGCCGCCCTTTGGAATCTTCTATTCAACTCTTTTATTTCAGCATTTCTTCATTCACTTTAGCTACACTCTGTTCAAGACCATGTTTCAGAGTCTTTTCTAACATCCATTTTGGTCTTTTCTTCCTTTCCTGTCTATTTAATGACCTTTTGCTTTCTTCATATATGATGTGTTTAGTGCATCAAATCTGTTCTTCAGATGGTCTCTAAATTCAGGTGGGGTATAATCAAATTTGTATTTTGGCTCTTGTGGACTTATTTTAATCTTCCTTAGCTTCAACATGAACTTGCATGTGAGCAATTGATGGTCTGTTCCATAGTCAGCATATATTCTGAGGCAGGCACAGTTCTAAATGCTAATCTAAATTAGTAACTTCATCCTCACAACAGGCTGTTGTGGAGGATCTGATTATTATTCTCGTTTTGCAGATGAGGATCTTGGTACACAGAGTAGTTAAATAACTTGCTCAAAGTCACACGGCAAGGAAGTGGCAGAGCCAGATTGTAAACCAGGAGGGCTGGCTTGGCAGTTAAACTATATAAATAGGCCTTGTCACCTGTCTGGAGAAACAGTAGGGTATTTTCCCCAGGATGCACTGGAGAAAGTTGGTGTTGGCCCCCACTGTTACTGTGTTGTGTGTCTGTGGGTTTATCCTGCCTGGATGGTCTTGTTGTGCTGTGCTGATGAGGACGTTCTGACTGATCGCGGCCCCATCTGCAACAGAACACTGCCCACTCCTGCGTCTTCCTCACGGTCATTGCTATGTTTGAGCCTGTTGCTGCAACCAGTCAGTCCATCTCATTCAGGCTCTTCCTCTTTCTTGTTGACCCTCTACTTTACCAGCATGATGACATGTACAAAGTACCTAAAACAAAGCCTTCTATGGAGCACTGTGGCTATACTTCTTGTAAGACAAATTTGTCATTCTTCAGGCAGTCCACAGTATATTCCGTGTTCTTCACCACCACCATAATTCAAAGTCATGAAGTTTTCTTTAGCCTTCCTTATTCACTGTCCAGCTTTCGCATGCATATGAGGAATTGAAAATACCACACATGGCTTGAGTTGGGCCCGTTAGTCCTCAAAGTGACATCTTTGCTTTTTAGCACTTTAAAAAGAGGTCTTTTGCAGTGGATTTGTCCGACAGTCTAGATTTTAGTTTTAAATCAGTAGAATAATTTGCAATTTTTTTCTGTTTTGGTCTTAGAAGATAGTTGTGAAAGATTCCCTTTAGAATGAGGCTGCTCCACTCAGGTTTCTCCACAGCACTGTTATTGTTAGGTGCCATTGAGTTAATTTCCAACTCATGGTGACACCATGTGACAGGGTAGAACTGCCCCATAGGGTTTTCTAGACTGTAATATTTATGGAAACAGATGCCAGGTCTTTTCTTCTGTGGAGCTGCTAGTGGGTTAGCAATTTTACTCAACCACCTGCCTTTTAGTTAGCAGCTGAGCACTTAACTGTTGTGCCACCAGGGCTCCCATAGCATAGTTGGAATAAATAGCGTGGCAAGTGTGTACTGTTTCATGAAATTCTGTTTATCATTTTGGTGCATATATAAAATAAAAGAATCCCAAGAAGGCTGATAGGTGTGCTCTTTGAAGAGTATCGCTAACTGCCCGTGTATGTCACCATTTCTCCAGTTCGCTGGCTGTGCAGCAGTGGGGCCCTTCTCTCCCACAGACCACAGAGAGGGCACATTGTGACGGCTTGCTTCCCAGTGCTTATCAGTACAAGCTGAGGTTCTGGGGTAGAATTCCTGCTGTACTTTCCTGCCTCTGGAAATTTGAAGTCAGGGAATTAACTCCCTAGTACTTGAAATATTCCTACTTGAATAGGGGCTTATTTACCCAAAATAAATTCTAGGGCTTTAACTCTTATATTTCTTTTTTTTCCCCCCAAATAATCTATAATGTTTATGAATTGGTGATATCATATAATTAAAATTAAGGCTATAGTAATGAGAATTAAACAGCATTTTTAATCTTGAGTTTTTAATTGTTGCCTTTTTTCCTTTTCTCCTTTATTTTGCAGTTCTTCATGCCATGAAGGAGGATAGTGAAAAAGTCCCAGGCTTGTTAACTGACTATATACTGAAAGGTAAGTTTCCTAATGGCATGTGTGCCATGGGTAGGAAGTTCTGATTCGTGAATAAATGTATCATCTGGCCCATAGATTTAAAAATAACTTCTAAGTGCACAGCTTTTATTAGTCTTTTATTCCTTATTGGTGTGTAGGGTGATGGTAGATCACAGATTTAGTTAGGTTCCCAACATTATAAATTACAGTTATATAAAATTTAAGTTCTTTTTGAGGTCCTGGGATGGAAATGATTTCCACAGCCAAATTACAAACACTGAGGAAGGTAGGAGAGGAAAATTAGTGAGGTCCTGCTATAACTGAGTGCCTGATGCTGGCATGCTGCCTCTGGGAGGGCTTGAGAAGGTGGTCTCTGTAGAAGAGGAAGGAGGTTGGGTCATCAGTGAGGACAGGTGTAGGAGGGGACAGTCACATCCAGTTACAGTCCTGAAGGGAATATTGAAGGGGCCAATGTAAGCGACTGGAAGGGGAAAAAGAGAACTGACTTTTGTAAACCCAGGGCAGTGAGAATGACCCATAAATCTTGGGAGCGACATCACAGGATGGGAATAGTGATGAGGAAAAGAAGATCGTTTGAGAAACTAATATGACCAGTTATTTTGCTAAAGAAAGGGCACAAGTTGTATGACAGAGAAAGGGACTGAAGAACTTAATTACAAATAAAACTAATTACTATCCCATGATTTTTTTTTTTAAAATAGTTATTCAGGCAACAGATTTGCAAAGCATCACAAAATGCATCTTGATCAATCTTGATCAAATTTTGAGACTGTTCTTCTGGTAAGGAGCTCTGGTGATGCAGTGCCTAAGGCATTTAACTGCTGACCACAAAGTTGGTGGTTCAAACCCACCAGCTGGCCCACAGAAGGAAGATGGAGCAGTCTACTTCTGTAAAGATTTAGCCCTTAGGAGCCCAGTGGGGGTTGCCATGAGCTGGAATCGACCTGATGGCAGTGAGTTCAGTGAGTGTCCCTCTGCTGCTAACATGTTTCTTTTTTGGAGCCTCTCTTTTTCTGTCAGAGTTGTTAGCTAAGCATGAGTGAGAAAGGTTGGGGTTTCTTAGACGTTAGGTATCTCACATAAAACTTTGCTTTTCCTGCAGCTTCATAAAGAGGGAACTCCATAGCACACATGGGGGCTTAAAGTGAATAATGTGGAAGTACCACTTGTAAGAGACTTGATGTGGATTTAAAAATACCAGCTGGCCACTAGAGGGTTGACACGGGTAGGAAAGACTGAATCGACATTACTTTGTAAGCTGTATATTTTTCTGACAGGGGCATTTTTTCCCCTATTGAATTCCACATTTTTTTAATACCTGACATCTTTGTTTGCTTTTGTGTTGTGCTGGTCAATGGTATGAAAGCTGGATTGTTCTGAGGTTTGCTCTTCTAGATGTGAAACAGGAATGAGACAAACATAAGGAGCATGTCTTAATGTTTAATTACAGTGGGTCCCTAGGGCACTGGCATGAGGACTAGAGATAGAATGAGCTTCTGAGACATTCTCTAGTTATTTTTATCATTTGATGCCATGGAAGAATATTATGACCCAGAGAACAGAGAGCTCTGGTGGATATGTTTTTTAATTCTTTACTCTGTAATGTGAACCTATCCCACATGCCCTTAGGGAAGCAGTACCCATCTCTTCTGCTCCTCCTGCTCGGGACCCAACTCCTGTCAGCAAGCTCAGTTCTCTCTCCGCTGTACTTGCCTCTGACAAGCTGTTTGTGTTCGTGTGCTGTGGTTTGTCTTGTGCGGACTGGGTGGACAAAGAGTCCGACTCCAGTGGCACATCTGTAGTCTGAGAAAATAGTGGTGCAAATGGTTAATGTACTTGACTGCTAACTAAAAAGTTTGGGGTTTGAATCTACCCAGAGGGCCCTTAAAGAAAGGCCCCATTGATCTACTTCTGAAAAATCAGTCAGTGAAAACCTTGTGGAGCACAGCTCCACTCTCACGCACGAGGTCACTATGAACTGGAGCCAATTCGATGGCAGCTTTTTTTTAATAATACACAGAAGTATTGTGAGTGTGGGAAGGTGGTAATTTGGGATAATTGAAAAGGTCTTTTCCACCCATCCTGGAGATTCACAGCCATTTAACTGTTCTTCTTCCTTGGGGACCAGTAACTCGACACTTCCCCTGGGAGGGACGGTCACTCAAAGGGCCCTCTCTTTTTTTTCTTGGCTGGACTTTCTTTGTTGTTGCTTTAACACTGGTGAGGGTGGCTTGGCTGCCTAAATACATCATCTTGGCTTTAATGCAAAAGTGAGAAATAAAAAGAAAGTAGAAAAGTGGTTTCATCTGGCCTCAGAAGGAGAGGAGGATGTACACTGTATGAAGGTAATTACGCTGCTTTTTTTCTCACCTGCTTGATTATCCCACTGCCACCTGCTGCCACCCTTACCCTCAGCAGTGTCAGAGGTTAGAGGTGTAGCTATGGCTGCTGCTGTGCTCATCTTTCATAGAAATAAAAATGTGTCCAGAAATGTACACCGTTCTTTGACTTTACCAGGGAGCCCATTTGCTGTGTTGCAAACCTTATAGTACAGGGCTAATGCTGTGGCCTTGTATCTCTGTGTGCTATCCTGACACAGCCTTCTGATATCTCTATTCTGGAAAATTCTAGTAAATGTGGTTTGAGAGAACTTCTCATTGTTAAGTGTAGCCATTTAAAAACTTTTTTTTTTTTTTAATGCTACTATATATCCTTGCATTAGTATTTTAGTTGTTATTCCTTAATGGTATTTTTATATACATATGAAGATGTATATAAAATATGTATGTATGCATTTTATACAAATGTAAATGAAGTATATATATCTACCTAAAAGTTTTCCTTTTCTTCTTCTAGTTCTTTGTCCTACATAGAGCATCACCACGTCAGGAGCAGCTTCACCTGCCGTGGGCCATGAGCTTGGGTCTGTAATGGTGTTATCCTGAGCTGGCCATCGCTACTTTCCTGCTCTTGAAAACACAGCACACATGAACTTGGGTTTGTGATTTCAGTATTAATAGATCATGACTCCACTAATTCTTTATATTATAAAGAAATACGGCACTATTTTGAAATCTAGAACTGGCGTTTGTTAAACCTATTAATGATCACGAACTTTTCTCTAACTTCGTAGAGTAAGTAGGATTAATATTAATTGTGCATGTGCAGTTATATTTTTCATTAACTGGCAGGATGCTCGTTTGAGGTTTTATGGCTTTCTAGATCTAAATTGCACTTAAGAACTAGATTAAAGCATTAAGAGTTTATCCTATAGCTATTCTTCAGTGATGGCAAGAACCAACACTGATTTTTTTGTAAGAGAATGCCAGTATATTACCAACCAGTATTGTTCAGAAAGACTGAAACAGAACAAACTTGGGTGTTCTTGAAGGAACGACACCAGAATATGCATTACCTGTCTTAATACTAAGTAAATGTTGACAGTGTTGGAGATGATGGGTTTTATAGCTTGCTGCTTATTGTCACCATTATTCCAATTTGAACTGTTAAGTTCCCATTTACTTTCAGAATCTTGTATTAACTTTCAGATGTTTAAATGTTTTATGTGTCGATGAAGAAGTGTACCATAAAAGGAGTTTGTATCCTTTAAGGTGCTTTAACTGTATGCTGCAGCGTTGCTCATTTCCCATTACTGTGTTTTATTTTATGATGCCTGTCTGTTATCTAAAGTAAAGTACTAATTCTAGAAACAGCCACTCATGGATATGTCACTAGTCATGAAACACTTTTGCTGGTTCCAATCAAGTCAGTGTCATTTAATAAATGTGAAAAAGAAAAGGGGGGGTATGTTCGATACCCTTATTTTGAGATTTTATTCTATGACTCATGATTTTTCTTCTCTTGCAATGCTTCCGCTACTGCCCCATGCAGAGTCCATCCCTGCAGCCAGTAAGCTTGTGAAACTCTGATCAGCCCCAGAGAGCTATGGTCTGGGGAGAGGGACCTTGCCAGCTTATGCTGTGGAACGATTGAAGTCCTGCTTGTTTTCTGGGGCTTTGACAAATTCTGAACGACTATAGCAGCCTCCTCCCTTATATGACATGAGTGCATATGGGACTTGCTATCAAGGGGCTTTTTAAATTCCATTTAAACATCTGTGAGCATATGGAGATAATCACATTCCTTACTCCACTCAATCACTGAGACACCATGACTGCAGAGGCTGGTAGTAGCTCGGTTTAAAGTCTGATGCCAACTCAGCATTCCAGGCGTTATCTGAAGTTATGTGGAATCTGAGATGGTTTCATTGTTTTACTTATGTCTTATTTGATAGTGGAAATATGGAACTTATTTGACCCTCCCCCTCAAAATGGATGAAGATGCATACTTACACAATAGTAGTATATTTAAGCAGATTTGTTTTAAATTTGTAATATTTTTGCCTTATATCTGAAAACATTACATACTATAAAAAGGACATACTATAAAAAGTTCTTGGGGATATGTTTTTGAAGAGACTCAACAGTGGTATATTTTATAGCTCATTCTTTAAGTTAGTATTTCTAAAGTATATGAAAATAGACCTGTTTTTCTGTGTCAACTCAAAGTCTCCTTATAATTAGGTTTCTCCTCGTTTTACTTGGTAAACTTAGTCTTCTTCAGCAGTGACCTTTTAGGGCTTCCCACCACAACCCCTGTGGTACATGATGAATTAGTTTTGACACTGATTTAATGATAACCAAGTTTCTGACGTGTGACTGATGCAGGTAGGTTTCTCCCCATCCTTTTGGGCAAGGGTCTCTTGGGAAATGTCTGCCTTCTGAGGGAGGCATCAGGGTTGGGGCTGCATGTGATGCTGGTGGCTCACCACACTGGCAGCCTTACACAAAAGGACTATAATATCTTCCTAATCCCAGATACGGACTCTTTTCCATATCTTTTACATTGTGTGATTGACATTCAAAATGTTTATTTCCTGCCAAGAACCCAACTGCAATAATCTCCTTACAGGGCTCTTTTTTTTTTTTTAAAAAGAAAAGCAAGCAAACTGTAGAACTACGGTGCACTCCAAGTGCCATATATCTATTTTATTTTTCAGGAAATTATATTTGTTTTTCTTTTACAAGAGCACAACAGGAACCAAAGTAAGAGTAATAGATACAGCACTCAGGATAAATCATATCTTTAAAATAATAATAAAAAATTTACACCTTGTCCTATATCCTGTTAGTATTTTCATAATATGGCCATGATTTTTGAAAAACAAAAAGCAAGCATTTACAACTTTTTGGATAAAGACTTTTTATGCCAGGAATGGATTAATTGTCAACAAAATTTTATACTAATCAGGCTGATGTAAATCTATATTTTTGTAACATATCATTAACAAATTTATTTCGGAAATAGATAAAAATATTGCCCCTTGATAATAAATCTTTTTTTTTTCCTTTGATGCAAACAGCTAGAACACCTTTTTCTTTTCTTTTTTTTGATATTCTAAGACAAAAGAAAATGGTTAATCTTCAGATTAATAAATTAGGTCATTATAATAATAAATTAATTTTTTTTTTAAAGTTCAGCATCCTCTGTCCAAGTATTTACAACAATACTTGAAAGTTCCTTTACAAAACAGAACACATTTTCTTTTCACATTAAGCATACTGGGTATCTGTGTCTTTTACAACAAGCATTTTAAAAGAAAAATCAATGCACAAATGGGTAATTAGTATAAAAGTGCTAAGAGCTGTTTGAAAAGTTAACACTATAGTATACAGCCAGAGTTATATTTGAGGCAAACTACAACAAACTTCCAGCTTATTGTGGACAATATTCCAGTAGTTGTTTCAAACAGTTGTTTGAAGAAGAAGAAGAAAAAAAAAAATCCAGGAGCTGATAGTGATGCAGATAAACTGCCATCAATGTCTGGCCAGTGAGCAAATTGAAAACCAACTGAAAGCAAATCCAAATGAGAAAGACTTGAATAAAGGAATATCTTCTCCACAGCAGGTGCCACACTGACTGTTTAAGGCATGTGTGTGCGCATGCACCCATACACATGCTGAGTTGTGGGTGAATGTGCTTGTATATATCTACCCAACCAGTCACACACATCTTTCTTTCTGATTAAACTGCAGGTAGAATGAGATTCTGTGTTACTCAAAAATTTGTAAGTGATCAAAAGCATTGATAAGGAATGCCGGTTTATCTTTGTTCTGGTTAAAATCTCATAAAAATACATTCAACAGGAAAACATAAATTGTATGTGTTATATGTGTATGTGTGTGTGTGTGTGTGTATATATATATATATATACACACACACACACACACGCACACAAATACTTTTGTTTTTTGAAGCATAAGATACATAAATATTCCTATAATTGCTAAAGTTTAAAGAGGCATAATTTTTTTGAGCTTCAACAAAGGTGCTTGAGTAATATACAATTAAAATGAAGTCACTTCTATTCTGTAGAATCAGTATATAATAAGGAAAGAAAAAAATCCCCAGTCTTTTTTTTTTTTTTCTTTTTTAAATTTCTTAAGCTAGAGCTTCAACAAAATCTTATGAATAACCAATATGAGAACAGAACAAAGCAACAACAAACAATGAAATATTGTCCCTGGAAAGGCCTGGTGTCCTTCACCCTCCCCCTCCTTCCTGCCATGTTGCTGTAAGAAAAGCTCCAGTGCTCACATCAAGAAGTAACTTAGGTCTTGTTCATTTGCTAAACTCTGCTAGTAACTGGCTGATTGGCTTGGAAGAAAAAATAAAGCAGCAAAAAGTGTAACTGTGTATATTCCTAAGGACCCGCTTTAAAGAAATTTTGCTCCTGCATTTCCCTTG